TCCTTATTACTCATCATCTTCGTATTTAATTCGATCCAACAGAACAAAAAACCTGTTACAAACGTTTCAGATCGTTAAACGTTTTTGCAAACAATAAATAATTCATTTCGTACATCAAGTCGAAGGATAAAAATGTTTTTCTACATCGTTATGGCGAGCAAGGAACATGATCGAAATTCAAGAGGAGCTAATTAAACATTTTGACCTCTTCTTATGCCTAGAGAATTATGAATTAATAATTCCTATAAGAAAAGTCTTTATGTACATTGTACCTATGAGTATTTTTATCGGTTATTTATGACCGTGATATAGCTTTTTCACTAAAAAATTATTTGAGTTTGTTTCTCAAGTGCAAATTAATATTATTCGCTTGTGATACATGGAAAAAATCTGTAAAAAAAGTGTCAAAAAAAGTGCAATTTTAATTATAAAAAATTATTTATCATGTATTAGAATCTACAAAATCTGATCTCAAAATATATTAGCTTAAACATAATACAAGAATACAAGTCCTACTAGTCATAACCTATGCATGTGAAACCTGGACATTTAAGGGTGGCTGCAACGACCTCCCGTAATCCTGGTGTTAAAACATAACAATTGGTTTTTATATGTAAAAACCAGCTGCTATTTTTTAAAAGCAGGATTACGGGACGTCGCACGTCGTTGCAGCCACCCTAAAATGGACATTATAAGGAAACTGCAGGTCGCACAAGGCTTAATGAAACGAAATATGCTGGGAATAACCAAGAAAGACCGTAAAAGAATAGAGTGGATATGACAAAAGACCCAGGTAATAGATGTCATACATAGAATCAAATCCTTCAAGTGGCAGAGGCCAGGACACCTGGCAAGAAGGACGGACAAAAGAAAAAGCTTACAGAATGATACCCACGAGAAATTAAGACACCTAGAAGAAGACCAAACCTGCGATTGGACCATGATTCCATGAGGAAATTCGCAGGGATAACTTGGGCCCGCATAGCCAACAATAGACAATAATGGGTCAAACTACAAAGAGAGTGTCTAAATACATGTGAGGGAGGCTAAACTATCATGAGAAATGGTTGAATAAGCTGAAAATGATGGTGATGAAATATAATAAATGTCATAACGAACATCACAATTCAATTTGTTTAACGCTCGACGCTCGCTCTATAACGGCTATGAAAACTTTAGTTGGCTAAGTATATGGAATGTGCTATGTGATTAAAAAACTTGCAAAATTGCTCAAAAAAATGCAAGACTTACAGGAGTCTTACGCAATACTAAGGCCAACACTAAGACCAAGACCAAGGGTGTTGTGGTCTTGGTCATCCATTTGCTCATTACTACAAATAAGAAATCCCATTAGGGTACAGGGATTGAGCTAGTCTCCAGAAGTTTCCAGAATTTTATATTATTTATATTGCAAATTCAAACTCTCGGAGGTCGAACCATAGTTCTCTGCCACATAATGGCCTACCGAGTTAATGAGTGTCTAAGTCTATCCAAGGGGAGAATAAAATTTGGCAGTGACAGTTCTTTCTGTCATTTTAGTTCACAGGTATAATGAATTTTCTATCATTTTTGGATGTCGTCTGTTGAAATCCTCCCTGACTAGTTGGGTACACTATACATATATTATTAGCTTTTAGGTCTGCAACGATACCTCAATTTTTATTTGAAATTACGGCACTAAAAAAATCTACGGAACTAAAAACGGGTAGCTTAAAAATTTTATGCATTTTAAAGTTTTATACAGGATGGTCCGAACTGTATTCCGGAAACTTCGGCAGCATATTCTGCAGATAAAAATAAGTAAAAAAGTTCGTATAAATGTATGTCCTAAAATGCTAAGTTTCGGAGATACAGGGTGTGGTAGTTTTATTTTTTTTTCATCTTTTCCAAATAATTTCTAAAGTAACGTCAATATTTGAATGAAAAATGGTGTCTGGGAGTTTTTTGACATGAGAAATTTGATTTTACATATACATACTGCCATTACTCGCTGACGAGTATTTGACACGCATCAGAAGATGGTCACGCAAGGCGTTCATGAGCTTTTGAAAGCAATTTTGATTTTGATGTTAATATGACTGCTACTTGTAGAGGGCGCCAACTACATATTTTTTAACTGGTTTGAAGAGTAATAACTTTTTGTCCGTACCTGTATAAAACTAGTGGGTTAAAAAATATACATTTACGACATTTTTTACGTAAAAAAGATCTCGCTACCGAGTAATGGTTCTCGATATATTTCGAATCGAAATTATATACCCGTCGTCATTGACAAAAATTAAACATGTTGACTAATAGTTATTAAACTGAAATAATAAATTTGAAATGTTTTTGTGTCAAAAGTTCAACAGAAACTTTTTTATCATCATTTTTTCTGCTCAAAATTTATGATTAATTTAAAAAAATAAATAGTTCCCGTTCCCAAATTTACTAGGTATTTCAGTCAAATAACTACATAATATGTTTATTTTTTGTCAATAATGACATGTATTGACTATTTCCATTCTAAATATCACACGAACGGTTGCTCGTAGCCATTTTTACCAAGATATATTTTTTTACGTAAAAAATCACTGAAATGTATTTTTCACCCAGTAGTTTTATACAGGTACGGACGAAAAGTTATTACTCTTAAAAGCAGTTAAAACATATGTAGGTGGCGCCCCCTACAAATAGAAGTCATATTGACATCAAAATCAAATTTCTCATGTCAAAAAACTTCCAGACGCCAATTTTCATCTAAATATTGACGTTACTTCAAAAATTATTTGCAAAAAATCGAAATAAAAATAAAACTTCTTCAACCTGTATCTCCGAAACTAAGCATTTTAGAACATACATTTATACGAACTTTTTTACTTATTTTTATCTGCTGCCGAAGTTTCCGGAATATAGTTCGGATCACCCTGTATATTGCGTTCTAGTGGACCGATTTCAGTGATTTTTTAAGCAATATGTAGCTAAATTATTTGACTTTTTAGTGTCTCTGTCTAAATTAAAAAAGAAAGTTGTCATCTGTCAATTATACGAGGGAAAACAAAATGTTGATATTTAGGTGAAAGTTTGAAACACCCTGTGGAGTACGTAAACAAAGCAAGGAATTTAAAAATAATTTTATCATCTAGGTGTATCTTTTCTCGATAGTTTGTTTTTTGATTCATCTCAATTAGCTTTACTTTTTTTGCAGATATTCGCTTTTGAAGAAGACACTATAACTTTTTTCATATTTTTTAATATTTTTTACATTAAAACCATACCTTTGTTTTTGGTCCTACTCAACAGACCTATAAAATAGTGTTTATGATTTATTACACTCTCTTTGAAAAATCATATTATTATTGTCTGTTGGAAGTTACTCTAGCAGAGACGATTTTAAGCCTAAAAATTGATCCCTACCATGATAAACTAAAGCAACAATAGCAGATACTTCATAACTTATAACTTATAACCATCTCTACTAGAGTAAACGCCAATAAACAATAACAATATTACTTTTCAATGACAATGACATTACAAAAACCATAAACACTATTTTATAAGTGTGTTGATGAGGAGCCAAAATGAATACTAAAATTGCTGTAAATCGTTACTGTGTTATTCAAAAGGGAATATCTCCAATGAAAATAAAGCAAATTGAGATGAATCAAAAAACAAACTATCGAGAAAAGACGTACCTAGATGATAAAATAATTTTCACATATTCCCCAGGGTGTTTCAAACTTTTACCAAAATATCAACATTTTGTGTTCCCTCGTATAATAGACAGATGGAAACTTTCATTTTTAATTTAGAAAGAGATACTAAAAAGTCAAAAATTTAGCTAGAAATTGTAGTTTTGAAAACTAGAATTGTTGTCTGTAGTTTAAAAAACTTCTTTAAAATAAATTAATGAAATATTTTTGTTAAAAAAATGTAATAATTTAGGTGCGGAAACAATAAAGTTATAAGTTTTATAATGATCAACAACATATACCCAGTGTGTTTCTGGTAGAAACAAAGCCCTTATAAAAACTGCTTTATTCAAGAAAAACAAGAAATGTTCATTAAATAACAGAAAAAAAACTTGCTCGAAGGACCAAAGAAAAACCTGTCCAGAAGGGGACGGTTTGGCAACGGTGCGCGGGCGCGTGTACAAACTTCGTAACAGCTCAAAAGTCAGGTTGGCAGTTGAATGGACGTCGCGATCTATAGCGTGTCTTGCCGACGTTGCAACGTGTTCAATTCTCTTTCTAATCTCGTCGGCTTGGCAACAACCTCGTTTGTTATTGTTTATTACTAGGCTAACGTCGGTTTCCTCCATCGGTTAATTTATGCGAAAGTGACACGTGTCGGTGGTGGAAACATTTTTGGAGATTAAAGTGACATTTATTTCTCGAGGATACGATTTGAGAAGAGGTTAATAATGCTGTTCCTCGCTTGTCAATCTGTACAAATAAAATGATTTTACTTCATGCCGTCCGTAAGCTTATTTACATATGGGAGCAGGTCAATATTGAAATAATACTCGAAGTACCTAGTAAGGCCTTTACACGAAGCCTCACATTTGTGTATGTTTTTAGTGCTTTTAACATATCGTTGATAATGATCTTAGTTTCCTCGCATCCTTTAAGAAAAATTATTTAATGATTCGAAAAAATATATATTAGAAAACCTCACAAAAAACAATGTTGATTTGTTATGTCATGTCTTTTTGGTGCTTTATAATTATTACTATAATTTATTTACTTTTTGCATATACGCTACCTACATGCAA